CTCACACACCCGACTCACACACACACACCCGACTCACACTCACACACCCGACTCACACACACACACCCGACTCACACTCACACACCCGACTCACACTCACACACCCGACTCACACTCACACCCCGACTCACACTCACACTCACACACCCGACTCACACTCACACACCCGACTCCACACTCACACACCCGACTCACATACACACACCCGACTCACACACACACTCACACACCCGACTCACACTCACACACCCGACTCACACTCACACACCCGACTCACACTCACAACCCGACTCACCACACACTCACACACCGACTCACACTCACACACCGACTCACACTCACACACCCGACTCACACTCACACACCCGACTCACACACACACACCCGATCACACTCACACACCCGACTCACACTCACACACCCGACTCACACACCCGACTCACACACACACACCCGACTCACACACACACTCACACACCCGACTCACACTCACACACCCGACTCACACTCACACTCACACACCCGACTCACACTCACACACCCGACTCACACTCACACACCCGACTCACACTCACACACCCCGACTCACACTCCACACACACACCCGACTCACACACACACACACCCGACTCACACGCACACACCCGACTCACACTCACACACCACACACACTCCCACTCACACACCCGACTCACACTCACACACCCGACTCACACTCACTACACCCGACTCACACACACACACCCGACTCACACTCACACACCCGACCATCACACCACTCACACACCCGACTCACACTCACACACCCGACTCACACTCACTCACACACCCGACTCACACTCACACACCCGACTCACACTCACACTCACACACCCGACTCACCACTCACACACCCGACTCACACTCACACACCCGACTCACATCACACACCCGACTTCACACACACACTCACACTCACACTCACACACCCGACTCACACTCACACACCCGACTCACACTCACACACCCGACTCACACTCACACACACCCGACTCACACTCACACACCCGACTCACACTCACACACCCGACTCACACTCACACACCGACTCACACACACCGACTCACACTCACACACCCGACACTCACACTCACACACCCAGCCACCCCCCCGACTCAAACTCACACACCCGACTCACACTCACACACCCGACTCACACACACTCACCACACCCGACTCACACTCACACACCCGACTCACCACTCACACACCTCGACTCACACTCACACACCCGACTCACACTCACACACCCGACTCACACTCACACACCCGACTCACACTCACATCACCCCGACTCACACTACACACACCCGACTCACACTCACACACCCGACTCACACTCACACACCCGACTCACACTCACACACCCCGACTCACACTCACACTCACACACCCGACCTCACACTCACACACCCGACTCACACTCACACACCCGACTCACACTACACACACCCGACTCACCACACACACTCACACACCCGACTCACACTCACACACCCGACTCACACTCACCACACCCGACTCACACTCACACACCCGACTCACACACACACTCACACACCCGACTCACACTCACACACCCGACTCACACTCACACACCCGACTCACACACACACACCCGACTCACCACTCACCACACCCGACTCAACACACACACACCCGACTCACACTCACACACCCGACTCACCACTCACACACCCGACTCACACACCCGACTCACACACACACACCCGACTCACACACACACTCACACACCCGACTCACACTCACACACCCGACTCACACTCACACTCACACACCCGACTCACACTCACCCACCCGACTCACACTCACACACCCGACTCACACTCACACACCCGACTCACACTCACACACCCGACTCACACTCACACTCACACACCCGACTCACACACACACACACCCGACTCACACGCACACACCCGACTCACACTCACACACCCACACACTCACACTCACACACCCGACTCACACTCACACACCCGACTCACACACACACACCCGACTCACACTCACACACCCGACTCACACACACACACCCGACTCACACTCACACACCCGACTCACACTCACACACCCGACTCACACTCACACACCCGACTCACACTCACACTCACACACCCGACTCACACTCACACACCCGACTCACACTCACACACCCGACTCACATACACACACCCGACTCACACACACACTCACACACCCGACTCACACTCACACACCCGACTCACACTCACACACCCGACTCACACTCACACACCCGACTCACACTCACACACCCGACTCACACTCACACACCCGACTCACACACACACTCACACACCCGACTCACACTCACACACCCGACTCACACTCACACACCCGACTCACACTCACACACCCGACTCACACTCACACACCCGACTCACACACACACTCACACACCCGACTCACACTCACACACCCGACTCACACTCACACACCCGACTCACACTCACACACCCGACTCACACTCACACACCCGACTCACACTCACCCGACTCACACCCACACACCCGACTCACACTCACACACCCGACTCACACTCACACACTCGACTCACAGTCACACACCCGACTCACACTCACACACCCGACTCACACTCACACACCCGACTCACACTCACACACCCGACTCACACTCACACACCCGACTCACACTCACACACCCGACTCACACACACACACCCGACTCACACACACACTCACACACCCGACTCACACTCACACACCCGACTCACACTCACACTCACACACCCGACTCACACTCACACACCCGACTCACACTCACACACCCGACTCACACTCACACACCCGACTCACACTCACACACCCGACTCACACTCACACACCCGACTCACACTCACACACCCGACTCACACTCACACACCCGACTCACACACACACTCACACACCCGACTCACACTCACACACCCAACTCACACTCACACTCACACACCCGACTCACACTCACACACCCGACTCACACTCACACACCCGACTCACACACACACACCCGACTCACACTCACACACCCGACTCACACTCACACACCCGACTCACACTCACACACCCGACTCACACACACACTCACACACCCGACTCACACTCACACACCCGACTCACACTCACACACCCGACTCACACTCACACACCCGACTCACACTCACACACCCGACTCACACTCACCCGACTCACACCCACACACCCGACTCACACTCACACACCCGACTCACACTCACACACACGACTCACACTCACACACCCGACTCACACTCACACACCCGACTCACACTCACACACCCGACTCACACTCACACACCCGACTCACACTCACACACCCGACTCACACTCACACACCCGACTCACACTCACACACCCGACTCACACACACCACACCCGACTCACACACACACTCACACACCCGACTCACACTCACACACCCGACTCACACTCACACTCACACACCCGACTCACACTCACACACCCGACTCACACTCACACACCCGACTCACACTCACACACCCGACTCACACACCCGACTCACACTCACACTCACACACCCGACTCACACTCACACACCCGACTCACACTCACACACCCGACTCACACTCACACACCCGACTCACACACACACACCCGACTCACACACACACTCACACACCCGACTCACACTCACACACCCGACTCACACTCACACTCACACACCCGACTCACACTCACACACCCGACTCACACTCACACACCCGACTCACACACACACACCCGACTCACACTCACACACCCGACTCACACTCACACACCCGACTCACACACCCGACTCACACACACACACCCGACTCACACACACACTCACACACCCGACTCACACTCACACACCCGACTCACACTCACACTCACACACCCGACTCACACTCACACACCCGACTCACACTCACACACCCGACTCACACTCACACACCCGACTCACACTCACACACCCGACTCACACTCACACTCACACACTCGACTCACACACACACACACCCGACTCACACGCACACACCCGACTCACACTCACACACCCGACTCACACTCACACACCCGACTCACACTCACACACCCGACTCACACTCACACACCCGACTCACACACACACACCCGACTCACACACACACACCCGACTCACACTCACACACCCGACTCACACTCACACACCCGACTCACACTCACACACCCGACTCACACTCACACTCACACACCCGACTCACACTCACACACCCGACTCACACTCACACACCCGACTCACATACACACACCCGACTCACACACACACTCACACACCCGACTCACACTCACACACCCGACTCACACTCACACACCCGACTCACACTCACACACCCGACTCACACTCACACACCCGACTCACACACCACACTCACACACCCGACTCACACTCACACACCCGACTCACACTCACACACCCGACTCACACTCACACACCCGACTCACACACACACTCACACACCCGACTCACACTCACACACCCGACTCACACTCACACACCCGACTCACACTCACACACCCGACTCACACTCACACACCCGACTCACACTCACACACCCGACTCACACTCACCCGACTCACACTCACACACCCGACTCACACTCACACACCCGACTCACACTCACACACTCGACTCACACTCACACACCCGACTCACACTCACACACCCGACTCACACTCACACACCCGACTCACACTCACACACCCGACTCACACTCACACACCCGACTCACACTCACACACCCGACTCACACTCACACACCCGACTCACACTCACACACCCGACTCACACTCACACACTCGACTCACACTCACACACCCGACTCACACTCACACACCCGACTCACACTCACACACCCGACGCACACTCACACACCCGACTCACACTCACACACCCGACTCACACTCACACACCCGACTCACACTCACACACCCGACTCACACTCACACACCCGACTCACACCATTGCTGGCTGTCTCCGTGGCCTATCGCGTGGTCCCCGCGCTCCCCGCGTCTCCATAGAGACCCCCCCCCCCCCCTCCCCTCTCCCCCTCCCGCTCCCCCTCCCCCCGCCGCGCCCCCTCCTCCCCGCTCCCAGCTGCTCCCGATTCCTCCTCCGCGTGTGCTCGCGTGCAGCAGAGACGGTAAGAGACACGGGGAGAGACACAGAGAGACACGGGGAGAGACACAGAGAGACACGGGGAGAGACACGGGGAGAGAGACAGAGAGACACGGGGAGAGAGACAGAGAGACACAGTGAGAGAGACAGAGAGACACGGGGAGAGACACAGTGAGAGAGACAGAGAGACACGGGGAGAGAGACAGAGAGACACGGGGAGAGAGACAGAGAGACACAGTGAGAGAGACAGAGAGACACGGGGAGAGACACACAGACAGCGAGAGACAGAGAAACACAGTGAGAGACAGAGAGACACGGGGAGAGACACAGTGAGAGAGACAGAGAGACACGGGGAGAGACACAGTGAGAGAGACAGAGAAACACAGTGAGAGACAGAGAGACACGGGGAGAGAGACAGAGAGACACGGAGAGAGACACGGAGAGAGAGACAGAGAGACACGGGGAGAAACACAGTGAGAGAGACAGAGAGACACGGGGAGAGAGACAGAGAGACACAGTGAGAGAGACAGAGAGACACGGGGAGAGAGACAGAGAGACACGGGGAGAGAGACGGAGAGACACAGTGAGAGAGACAGAGAGACACAGTGAGAGAGACAGAGAGACACGGGGAGAGAGACAGAGAGACACAGTGAGAGAGACAGAGAGACACAGTGAGAGAGACAGAGAGACACAGTGAGAGAGACAGAGAGACACAGTGAGAGAGACAGAGAGACACAGTGAGAGAGACAGAGAGACACGGGGAGAGACACAGTGAGAGAGACAGAGAGACACGGGGAGAGACACAGAGGGACACGGGGAGAGACACAGAGAGACACGGGGAGAGAGACAGAGAGACACAGTGAGAGAGACAGTGAGAGAGACAGAGAGACACGGGGAGAGACACAGTGAGAGAGACAGAGAGACACGGTGAGAGACACAGAGAGACACGGGGAGAGACACAGAGAGACACGGGGAGAGAGACAGAGAGACACGGGGAGAGAGACAGAGAGACACGGGGAGAGAGACAGAGAGACACGGTGAGAGAGACAGAGAGACACGGGGAGAGACACAGTGAGAGAGACAGAGAGACACGGGGAGAGACACAAAGAGACACGGGGAGAGACACAGAGAGACACAGTGAGAGAGACAGAGAGACACAGTGAGAGAGACAGAGAGACACAGTGAGAGAGACAGAGAGAGACAGAGAGACACGGGGAGAGACGTGTGTGTTGCTAATTGTGTGTGTGCGCAGAAAACCGAGATTGTGCTGCTGTGTGAGCGGTAGTGGAGCGGTCTGCGCGCTGCGCTACGATCCTGGCGATCCGAATTCAATTGCCGCTCACGGCCAGCACCAGTGACGATTATCTGAACTGGTCCTGGTCCTCCCCTAGGTCGACTCAGCCTAAAATGAGTACCTGGTAGAATGTGTAAACAGCGCCACGAGGGAGCCAAAGGCGGCCGGGCGTGGTGTTGGCCACCCACCCCCTCCGTGTTGACTTGCCGGCCTTCATAGTTGCTTGCTAACAGCACTCGCCCCAATAGTCTTGTGCAGGCTATACGGGGGATTTTTGTCCTTGTGTGCGCGGCAGAGAATGCCCTACATGACATCACTACAACAGTCTGGAACCACTGGACGGGTTCCGCAGGATTGTAAGGATGCCCTGGTGATCTTTTAGAAGGGGGACCGCACAGACTGTAACAACTACAGGGGCCACGTTGAAGGGAAACAATAAAATAATAAAATATATATAACAATAAAAATTCTCACGACGTTTCGACGATAACACAAACGACCGTTTGTGTTATGGTCGAAACGTCGTGAGAATTTTCACGACGTTTCGACCGGTCGTTTGTGCTATGGTCGAAACGTCGTGAGAATTTTTATTGTTTTATATATATTTTATTATTTTATTGTTTCCCTTCAACGTGGTGACTTTACTGAAAGAGCTAAGAATATGAATTACTGCAGTCATGAAAGCTTTAAATCAAAATTTAAAACTACAGGGGCATTTCACTCCTCGGTGTGCCGGGAAAGGTCCTGGCAAGGATTATTCAACATCGCCTTGCCAGGCACGCTGAGGAGAGGCTTGCGGAGCCACAATGCGGTTTCAGGCCAGGGCGGTCCTGCACCGATTAATTCTAACACGGCTGACATCTCTGCTTTATTGTCCTGGTCAAAGCCTATGATATCATCAGTAGGCTTGGGCTCTGGGTTGTTCTTCGTGCTTTCAGAGTCCCTGACTTTCTGCTCACGATCATTAAGGACCTTCATGATGGTGGGCAGGCCCGGGTCTTCGCGGCCACGGTCATGAACTCCCTTCTCTACGTGTGCGAAACGTGGACACCCCCCCCCCCAAATGGAACATCGTCGTCGGCCTGCCTACGATCCATCCTGGGTTTAACCAGGCTGGATTGTGTGAGGAGCTCACACATTCTTGAAAGATCTGGACAAAGTCCCATCAGTGAGCTCCTCCGGCGGGCAAGGCTGCGTTGGCTGGGTCACGTAGCCCGCATGCCCAGCCACCGCATGCCAAAACAGCTTTTGTTTCAGACGGATTAAGGGGGCTAAGCAGGCGCGGCACGGGCTAGAGAAGAGATGGAGTGATGTGGTACAGGAGGACGTGGAGCTGAGTGGACTTGCCGATGACTGGTACCAGTGGTGTCAAGATCGGCCTCTGTGGAGGAGGCTCGTGAAGGACGCTGCTGGGCAGTTGGAGGCAGTCGCCCTCCAACAACAACGGAGGGCGGAGGAGCGACGCTCACAACAACGAGCTGGTGCATAAAACACAGCAAATTGGCACAGTAGGGGGCACAGGTGGTGCATCGGCAAGTCATCTCAGTCAGTCAACCCATGGCACCTGCTGGGTCTGTCCCGTGACCTCCTGCCAGCGGGCGTTCGACACTTCACGTGGCCTTAACGTGCACATAGCCTGGTACAAGCGGAATGGTCACCGCCACTTAGTGGTGAATGACAGTTGTTGTTGTGCTGCTATGTATATGTGTGATGCTGTGTGTGTGATGCTGTGTGCTGCTATGTATATGTGTGATGCTGTGTGTGTGCTGCTATGTATATGTGTGATGCTGTGTGTGTGCTATGTATATGTGTGATGCTGTGTGTGTGCTGCCATGTATATGTGTGATGCTGTGTATGTGCTGCTATGCATATGTGTGATGATGTGTGTGCTGCTGTGTATGTGTGTGCTGCTGTGTGTGTGATGCTGTGTGTGTGCTGCTATGATATGTGTGCTGCTATGTATATGTGTGATGCTGTGTATGTGCTGCTATGCATATGTGTGATGATGTGTGTGCTGCTGTGTATGTGTGTGCTGCTGTGTGTGTGATGCTGTGTGTGTGCTGCTATGATATGTGTGCTGCTATGTATATGTGTGATGCTGTGTGTGTGCTGCGATGTATATGTGTGATGCTGTGTGTGTGCTGCTATGTATATGCGTGATGCTGTGTGTGTGCTGCTATGTATGTGTGTGATGCTGTGTGTGTGCTACTATGTATGTGTGTGCTGCTATGTATTTGTGTATTGCTGTGTGTGTGCTGCTATACATATGTGTGATGTGTGTGCTGCTGTGTATGTGTGTGCTGCTGTGTGTGTGATGCTGTGTGTGTGCTGCTATGATATGTGTGCTGCTATGTATATGTGTGATGCTGTGTGTGCTGTTATGTATATGTGTGATGCTGTGTGTGTGCTGCTATGTATATGTGTGATGCTGTGTGTGTGCTGCTATGTATATGTGTGATGCTGTGTGTGTGCTGCTATGTATATGTGTGATGCTGTGTGTGTGCTGCTATGTATATGTGTGATGCTGTGTGTGTGCTGCTATGTATATGTGTGATGCTGTGTGTGTGCTGCTATGTATTTGTGTGATGCTGTGTGTGCTACTATGTATGTGTGTGCTGCTATGTATTTGTGTATTGCTGTATGTTTGCAGCTATGCATATGTGTGATGATGTGTGTGATGCTATGTATGTGTGTGATGCTGTGTGTGTGCTACTATGTATGTGTGTGCTGCTATGTATATGTGTGATGCTGTGTGTGTGCTGCGATGTATATGTGTGATGCTGTGTGTGTGCTGCTATGTATATGCGTGATGCTGTGTGTGTGCTGCTATGTATGTGTGTGATGCTGTGTGTGTGCTACTATGTGTGTGCTGCTATGTATTTGTGTATTGCTGTGTGTATGCAGCTATGCATATGTGTGATGATGTGTGTGCTGCTATGTATGTGTGTGATGCTGTGTGTGTGCTACTATGTATGTGTGTGCTGCTATGTATTTGTGTATTGCTGTGTGTGTGCTGCTATGATATGTGTGCTGCTATGTATATGTGTGATGCTGTGTGTGTGCTGTTATGTATATGTGTGATGCTGTGTGTGTGCTGCTATGTATATGTGTGATGCTGTGTGTGTGCTGCTATGTATATGTGTGATGCTGTGTGTGTGCTGCTATGTATATGTGTGATGCTGTGTGTGTGCTGCTATGTATATGTGTGATGCTGTGTGTGTGCTGCTATGTATATGTGTGATGCTGTGTGTGTGCTGCTATGTATGTGTGTGATGCTGTGTGTGCTACTATGTATGTGTGTGCTGCTATGTATTTGTGTATTGCTGTATGTTTGCAGCTATGCATATGTGTGATGCTGTGTGTGTGCTGCTATGTATATGTGTGATGCTGTGTGTGTGCTGCTATGTATGTGTGTGATGCTGTGTGTGCTACTATGTATGTGTGTGCTGCTATGTATTTGTGTATTGCTGTATGTTTGCAGCTATGCATGTGTGATGATGTGTGTGATGCTATGTATGTGTGTGATGCTATGTGTGTGCTACTATGTATGTGTGTGCTGCTATGTATATGTGTGATGCTGTGTGTGTGCTGCGATGTATATGTGTGATGCTGTGTGTGCTGCTATGTATATGCGTGATGCTGTGTGTGTGCTGCTATGTATGTGTGTGATGCTGTGTGTGTGCTACTATGTATGTGTGTGCTGCTATGTATTTGTGTATTGCTGTGTGTGT